TTTCTTTTCGGTTCTTTACCTCGACGCCTTTTTTGAACCGACAGGTTAGAATTAATATTAGGGTTTGAGGACTCCATATGTTACTATATAAGGGACCCCAACTCCCTTACGTAAGGATCAAAAATATAGATTATTCCTCTCCCTACTTCTCTTCTAAAAACCCTAAACCCTTTCCCTACGGCCGATCGGAAGTATCGACCTTCTTCTCCTTCGTCTTGTTTCTTCACTGCTGCACGGGCTAGATACCTTCGTGTATCAATTGGTGCTTTCATCGACGTACTCATGACTAATTCCGGAATTTCTTCTGACTCCTTTACCCTCGCCGACATCATGGGCGCTATCGCTGAGTTGCGGACGGATCTACAGACCACTAAAACCAGGGTGGCGGAACTGGCAGTGGCAAACCGTCCAGTCACGGAACCCCATCGGCGTGCACCGGCGCAGTTTACACCCGGGTGGCGACCTCCTCCTTCACGCACGACGCCACCAACTCTTGAACCCGCGCCACGGATGCGGGTAGATGCCCCTCGTTTTTCTGGTGAAGATCCTACGGGCTGGATTTTTAAGGTACAAAAATATTTTGATTACTTCCTCACACCGGAGCCGGAGCGGTTGCAACTGGTCTCTATGCTAATCGACCATCCCGCCTCGGAATGGTTTCATTATTTCCAAGCTAACAACCCGGGTGCCACTTGGCCCGAGTTTTTGGACGCCGTGCAGCAACGTTTTGATTCAAGTTATTATGAGAATTATATTGGGCTGTTATCTAAATTATCACAGACATCGTCGGTTATGGACTACCAGTCGGCGTTTGAAACAATTTTAAATAAGGTTTCGGGGGTACCCGAGGGGACTCTCATTGCCATATTCATTGCCGGCCTCAAACAACCGGTACGACGTGAGGTTAACTTGCAGAATCCGTCCACCCTGGCCTCCGCGTTTGCCCTTGCCCAGGAACTGTCGGCATGCCATGAAGAGGCGGCGGCATCCTATTCGGCTAACAACAGGAAACCATGGCAGCCTCGGCCGAGTTCTACCACAGGGACCGGACTTTTGCCCACTCCAGTACCTACCTCACGGCCTTCCCCACTCCGAGGCCGTCCAAATGACAGATCGTCTCCTCTGCAAGTGGTTCGTTTGTCCCCGGCTGAAAAGACAGAACGTAATAAGAAAGGGCTCTGTTGGTATTGCGACGAAAAATGGGTGCCGGGACATAATTGTAAGCACCGATTTTTGGTTCTCATGGGCCCCGATGACGACGACGAGGATACCAGCGATCTCACACCACCTGGCCACACCGAGGACACGATATCCGGGGATGTTTCTAGTATCTTATCTCTGGCAGGGAGTCCTCGCTCGTTGAAGTTGGCGGGATCTATAAATGGCGTGGCTGTTCAGGTTTTGTTGGATGGGGGCAGTACCCACAATTTTTTACACCCTGCGGTGGCCGAACGTTTGGCGTTGGTTCTACACCCTACCCCGGCTTTTCGCGTCTACGTAGGTAACGGTGATTCGTTACGCTGCGCCTACTCATGTCTGCAGACACCGTTAACCTTGCAAGGCCACGTTTTTGAGGTGGATCTTTATGTGCTTGCTATTCACGGGCCCGACGTAGTACTTGGCGTTCAATGGCTCCAGACGCTCGGCAAAATCTCCCATTATTATTCGGAGATGACTATGGATTTTACTTGGCAGGGCCGTCCTATTACTCTCCGCGGTGATACCCCTACACCGCGACCCCTCTCTTATAGTCAGTTCTGCGTCCTTGCCGCGTCGCCCGAGCCGTGTGACCATTATGAGCTTGTGTCTTCCGCTGCTACTATCAACGCACAAGGGGCACCATCAGAGGATATCCCCGCCGATGTATCGCAGCCTATCCGGGAATTATTGTCTGAGTTTGTGGGGGTTTTCGGTCTGCCCAGTGGGTTACCGCCGGGCCGCTGTTGGGACCACAGGATTCATCTCGACCCGTCGTCCAAACCGGTAAATGTTCGCCCTTATCGTTATCCCTATTTTCAGAAAACTGAAATCGAACGACAGGTCCACGAGATGCTTGAGCAAGGGATAATTCAGCCGAGTACCAGCCCCTTTTCTTCTCCAGTGTTGTTGGTCCGCAAAAAAGACGGGACATACCGCTTCTGTGTCGACTACCGTGCATTGAACGCCGCCACCATCCCCGACCACTTCCCGATCCCACCACCGATGAGCTTTTTGATGAGTTGGGCAAGGCATGCATCTTCACCAAACTGGATCTGTGTTCGGGGTATCATCAAATCCGAATGCACGCAGGGGATGTGTAAAAAACGGCTTTCCGGACACACGATGGGCACTTTGAGTTCCTCGTCATGCCGTTTGGGCTCACAAACGCACCATCGACGTTCCAGGCCGCCATGTATATTTCGTCCCAATCTACGGCGGTACGTTATTGTCTTTTTTGATGATATCCTAGTGTACAGTGCATCTTTGGAGGCCCATTTAGAGCACCTGCGTTCCGTGTTGGCTACATTGAGGGATCACAGGTTCTTCGTCAAGCTAAGCAAATGTTCTTTTGGCCGGACTACGATCGATTACCTGGGGCACCTTCTTTCGGCAGGGGTGTTGAAGCCTGACCCGACAAAAATTTCGGCCATGCTCGCATGGCCCAAGCCGCGGACGGTGAAACAGTTACGAGGGTTCTTGGGCTTGACAGGTTATTACCGACGATTTGTAGCCGGATATGCTACAATTGCTGCTCCACTGACGAGGTTGCTGAAGAAAGATGGGTTCCACTGGGATGAAGCGGCTGACCTCAGTTTCGAGCATCTCAAGCAAGCTATGACCACGGCCCCCGTACTTCGTTTGCCGGATTTTACTCAGACTTTTTACGTTGAGACCGACGCGTCTGATTATGGGATTGGTGCGGTTCTCACACAAGGGGGCCACCCAATTGCTTTTTTCAGCAAAACTTTGGGACCGAGGCGACGAGCTGCATCCACTTATCATAAGGAATTATATGCAATTGTTGAAGCAGTACACAAGTGGCGTCAATATCTGTTGGGACGCGAGTTTGTAATCCGTAGTGACCAGCGGAGCTTGAAGGAACTACTCCAGCAAGTTATACAAACTCCGGATCAGCAATTCTACATTCGCAAGCTTATGGGTTACAAATGTATAAAGTCGGGGCCACAAACCGCGCCGCCGATGCATTATCTCGCAGGGAGGACGACTCGGACCCAGCCAATCTGTTCACCGTGTGTGCACAGCCCATTCCTCACCTCCTACAGACCCTAAAGACAGAGAATTCTTCACTGCCAGACCTGGTGTCCTTACATACGGCGGTTAGTGACGGGTCGGCACCAGCGCATATTTCGGTTCATGATGGGATCCTTTACTACAATCACCGTTTGTACATCAGCCCTGCGTCACCCCTCTGCCAACAACTCCTCCATGAGTTTCACGCCACACCCACGGCTGGTCACCAGGGCGTCGACCGCACATTTCGCCGTTTAGCAGCCATTTTCTTCTGGCCAGGCATGCGACGGGCGGTGCGCCAGTTTGTGGCTTCATGCACGGTGTGCCAAGCCACCAAGTACTCTACTCAAAAACCCGGGGGTCTCCTGCAACCATTGCCCATTCCCGACCAGGTCTGGGAAGCGGCGTCATTGGATTTTGTGACGGGCTTACCTCCATCCAAGGGATTTACCGCCGTGTTGGTAGTGGTCGATCGGCTGAGTAAATATGTTCATTTTGGCCCACTCCCCACCGGGTTTGATGCTCCGCGAGTGGCGCTACTCTTTGTCGATATTGTTGTGAAGCATCATGGGTTTCCCCGTTCCTTGGTCTCCGATCGCGACCCGGTTTTCATGAGCACATTTTGGAAAGAGCTGTTGCGGCTGAGTGGAACCTTCTTGAAATATTCAACGGCCTATCATCCACAAACTGATGGCCAAACCGAGGTTCTCAACCGTCACCTCGAACAATACCTACGCGCTTTTGTTTCCGAACGCCCATCAAAGTGGGCCGTGTTTTTACCATGGGCGGAGTTGGCCATCAATTGTACCTACCACGAGGCTCTTGGAGTCTCCCCATTTGAGGTTCTGTATGGCAGACCTCCACCATCTCTCTTTCCCACATTATCCGTCCGTGCCCGGGTCCCCGCAGTCGAGGAATTATTGCGTGAGCGGGCTGCCTTATTGGAGGATTTAAAACTTCATTTGAGGAAAATGCAGCAGAGGATGTGCGCCCAGGCTAATCGTCACCGGCGGGAGGTGGTATTCAACGTCGGTGACATGGTGCTCCTTCGGCTACAGCCTTATCGGCAACACTCTTTGGCACGTCCTGGGTCGTACAAGCTGGCCAAACGTTTCTATGGGCCCTTTGAAGTTTTGGAACGGGTGGGGCCGGTTGCATACCGCCTCCGCTTACCGGAGGCTTGCCGCATACACAATGTATTCCATGTCTCACTATTGCGACCCTATGTTCAGCGGGATGACAGTGCCGTGCTGCCCTCTTTGCCTCTGGAATTCATCAAGGGACGGCCATTATCTGTCCCGGTCGCAGCGTGGATAGTCGTCGGGTGCTGGTCAACGGGGAACCGCGGGACAAGTGGCTAGTGCAGTGGTCAGATGGCACACCAGCAGAGGCTACATGGGAACCAGTCCAGGAACTAATTGCTGCTTTTCCGGATTTACGCCTTGAGGACAAGGCTATGGCTAAGCGGGGGGGAGTTGATACGGGCCCAAGCATAGATGGGCCGAACGATGACCATGCGGAATGCCCAAATAGTGAAGAGGGCCTGCCAAGGGGAAGCTCGGACGTGGTGCATGCAGACAACACAAACGGATCCTCGACCTCGGGGCGACCGCGACGTAACGTTGGGCCACCCCAACGTTACCGGGATTACGTGTAGTTCTTTTATCTTTTATTTATTCCTTTATTTATTGTAACTTAGATTTTTTCTAGGTGAGCGTTTATAAGCTCCTTCGAGGGTTTCTTTTCGATTCTTTACCTCGACGCCTTTTTTGAACCGACAGGTTAGAATTAATATTAGGGTTTGAGGACTCCATATGTTACTATATAAGGGACCCCAACTCCCTTACGTAAGGATCAAAAATATAGATTATTCCTCTCCCTACTTCTCTTCTAAAAACCCTAAACCCTTTCCCTACGGCCGATCGGAAGTATCGACCTTCTTCTCCTTCGTCTTGTTTCTTCACTGCTGCATGGGCTANTTTTCGATTCTTTACCTCGACGCCTTTTTTGAACCGACAGGTTAGAATTAATATTAGGGTTTGAGGACTCCATATGTTACTATATAAGGGACCCCAACTCCCTTACGTAAGGATCAAAAATATAGATTATTCCTCTCCCTACTTCTCTTCTAAAAACCCTAAACCCTTTCCCTACGGCCGATCGGAAGTATCGACCTTCTTCTCCTTCGTCTTGTTTCTTCACTGCTGCATGGGCTAGATACCTTCGTGTATCATTATTGGGAAGTAAAATTACTAATATACTCCGTACCTTTTAATTCAATGAAAGAAAAGCACCATAGCATGAGAGAACTTACAAGTCAGATGCGAGAGCATCGCCTCCAGGGCTATCAATTCGAATGACAACAGCCTTGTACTTTTTTGATTCTGCAAGGAATTGATTCTCAATGACTAAAAAAAGAAGTGGATTACACAACAGCAGACCCTATAGAATCACAACTTTGTTAGGGCTTGGAGAGGGGTGGGGGTCAAGATGTACACAACCTTACCCCTCTTAAAAATAGAGGTTGTTTCTGTTAGATAGTTTATGCATTACTGCATTTACAGCCCAATACTTAAAAGGAAGTAAGAAACAAAATAGGTTCAATGTGCCATTTTATTTTAGCCCATTATTTATCCGAAGCTAAAAATGATCAATTATACTTGTAGATCAATTCCTGTTATACCTTAAAACCACGTTGACCACAAAAATGGAAATATACCTCTAGCACTACGAATCTTTTCAATGAACTGCTCTGCTATAATGCTTGAACTAGGCACAGTAAATGAGCTACGTACACGACTAATGCTTCCAGAGGCTCGAATTAGAGCAATCTTATCCTTATAACCTGCAAGGTCAAGACTCCATCTCTTGGCTCGAGAGTATTTCCTGTTATGAGTAGATTCAACAAAAGATTAAGACTTCAAAAGTAAGGATGTTGATGAACCAAGGAGAAGTATACAGTACAACAAGAGAACAAGCCGCCAGCACTGACTTTTTAGTAATTTAACTTATATTGCAGGGGAAATTACACTGAAAAGAGATGACAACCTTTGCAAAAGCCAGGAACTTCCCAAAATGAAAATATTTGTTCAATAATCACTTTGACCATCAAATGAAAAAAAAAATTGATGTACCCAAAGATTGGCACAGTTGATGAAAAGAGAGCAGGACTGTTGTAGAAAAAAAGACAGCATTTAGTATCAAATCCTATTCAAAAATCACAAACAAAACCTTAATGCTGATGACTCCTAAAAAAAGGAACAATATCAAAACTTGACCTATAATCCACTGTGGGAAGACTCTTATCCTTTGAAGTTCCCAAACGCTCTTTCAACATTGACATAACCTGAACATTCAGCATGTCAGAGTACACAAACAACACTGCATGAAGAATAAAATGACATAGCAGATTAGCTCACTTGACTTATCAATTGATGGAAAAATATTTTTGAAGCAGAAAACTAATAATCATTAACAATATGTTTGGTTTAGGGAATCACAGAAGAAAGGAAAATGCCAAGGAAAGTAAAAAGTCAAAGAAACTAAAAAACTTAATCTTGTTTGGTTAGTAGGGGAATTCGTAAGAAAACTGTTTTTCAATAACTTCTTTGTTTGGTTTTTGTAGAGAAACAAAAGAAGGCATTGTTCAAAGAGGGGGGGAGGGCGAGGGTGGGAGGGTGGGGGTTGAAGGAGGGGGGGAGGGGAAGGAGGAGTTTGTTGTATTCTCTTATTTTGCTCATGAAATGGAAGGAAAATCACATCCCAATTTTACTTTACATTTTACCTACAGTTTCTTTTCCACCCAAATTTATTTTCTTTTCTAACCAAACACCGAAATTATTTTTTCCTTACCATATCTATTCTTTTCCCTTTTCAATTTCTTGAACCAAACATAATGGGAGGGTCTGTTTGGATTCTAGAAAATACTATACAAAGATTATCAGAAAGAAAACAGGGAGGACAACTGGGAGGAAAGAAAATTTAGAGAAAATAAAAGATAAGATAAATGCAATCAATTTACTTTAGATATGATATTTGTTGGTACTCATGTTAATGATATATATCTAATATAGAGACTAAGAAATCTAAACATATGTAAACTAAAATTATTAATAATCACATTTCAATTTCCTTTACATTTCCAAGTGAAAACCAAACATAAGAAAATAGCCTTCCTTCGCTTTCGTTTTCCCAATCACCTCCAGCCATCCAGATTCCAGACCTTAGGTAAATGCTTCACACATCCACTAATACCCAATCTGTCCAATTTTATTTCTCCTACTTTCATACTTAGTTAATCCAAATAATATCCACTATTCTGATCGGAACACAACTAAATTATATATATTTATTTCCACTTTAATCACGAGAGGATTTGAATGGTAGGTTGGAATCGTGGAGACAAGCTTTGGAGTTGCACGGCTTGCATATAAGTCGCACTAAAATAGAGTATATGGAAAGCAAGTTTGGCAATGGAAGGAGAAATAGTAACATCGAGGTGAAAGTCGGAGAAAATACTATACTAGAAGTAAAGAGATTTAAATATCTTGGATATACCATTCAAGACAATGGAAAAATAGAGGATCGTGTTAACCACATGATTCAAGCCAGTTGGTCAAAATGGCGGAGTGCTTCGGGCTTTAGATGTGACAAAAAAGTACCCTTAAAACTAAATAGAAAATTTTACCGTATTGCAATTAGACCAACAAGGGTGAACGTGAACACCAGGTTAGTGTGGTGGAAATGAAGATGCTTCAATGGATGAACGGTCATGCACATATGGAGAGAATTAGGAATGAAGATATGAAAGCTAAAGTTGGAGTGACACGTATTGTAGAAAAGATGGAGGAAACTTGTCTTAGGTGGTTTAGACATGTGGAGAGAAGACCAGTGGAGAGAAGAGCAATAAAGCTTTGGTGAGAAGGGTTGCTCAAATGGAGAATAGAATGTGACTAAGAGGAAGAGGTAGATCTAAGAAGACTTGGCACGAAGTGGTCAAAGGGGATCTTCGCGTGAATGACCTCACAGTAGATATGATATATGATTGGGCGCAATGGCATCATTTGATCCATGTAGCCGACTCCACCTAGTGGGATAATGCTTTGTTGTATTTTCAATTTAATCTTACTATTTAACTTTTGAAAAGATTTGAGTCTTTCACTATTCGGATCCTACTTTAGAGTTGAGACAGCTTTCGGAAAGTACATCACAAGCTTCTTTTTTGTAAAAAAAAAAAAAGAAGTGCTAAAATTACACATTCCTTGCAGTATTTTGGGATGGCACCTGTAAGAGTTATGGCTCATGCCAATTCTTATCAAGGAGTTACTCCCACAACTTTGTAGCTTAATGTGCATGTAGATTAATTGCGTCTAATTTTCAATTCTTCACAGGTGATTCCTTAACACTGTATAAATTTTGATGTTCCTTAACACTTGGGAAGAAAAACCAAAAACTCATTGTACCTCATCATCATACTTTATATCTGTTATCCAGCCATCTTCTTTTAGCCTCTCCACTTGGTAGACTCCTTCATTAATAAAATTTTCAACATCTTCTAATTTTTTCCCTGCATAGAAAACCAGAGAAATGTTGAAGTATGTTATTCTGTAGCAATACTAGGTACTAGAGTCTTACTGAGAAGGGAATCAGTGCCAAAAGAAAACTACTACCTTTTGCGACGGAGACTTTATTAAGCCAATTTCCATAAATGTTTTCAAGCAATGACGTCAGCATCTCATAGTTTTCCTTTGATATATTTTTGCGTGTTAGCTGATCACCAGCACTCTTGTATTTACCAATCCTCTGAACTTCTGGCTCAATCCCAATTTTTTCAAGTACACCTGCACAATAGTTCAATCGTTTGTTGAAATAAGTCAAAATATTTGAAGAGCAAAAAATTTTTAGCACACCTTCAAATTATATGTGCTACCTCCCAGAAATGATGTTTGGACAGAAATGCCATACAAAGAAAAATAGGCACTTGGAGGGGCATAGAGCTCATCGCATGCACAGCCAATATAATACTCTTTTTCTCCACAAGCAGGTGTGAAACCCACAATAAACTTACCTGCAAATTAGCAAATACTCCGATATTATGTCTCTTTCTAATCCATATGATACTCTACTGAATATGTACTAACTCCGCCCTAATGTGTTTGTCCAGTTTGACTTTTTGTAGTCCAGCTGGACAAACTTTGATCATCAATTAAATAAAAATTGCATTACATATTAGGTCAAAAAAACTTAATTAAATATATCTTGTAAAATATTTTCAAAAACTTATGGACAAATACACTAGGACAGAGTATTTACTTTAAAAAAGTTGAGTGTTTACACCCATCTCGTGTGGGTGTAAGGTCTGTGTACACACACCCTCACCCTCCCCAGACCCTACTTCTATGGGACTTTATTGGGTTTATTGTTGTGTTTACACCAACTCCCCCTGTCTTTCCATTTTCCACTGCTACGTTCCCTCCCTCCAGTGAAGTTTTGAACTTCCTGTGGAGGCCGGGGAGTCATTGATCACAATACTCCATTAGATACAAGCAAAATAAAGATCATTTTTCCTACACACAAGTGTAAATAATTTTAAAGCATTCTTTTCATTGAAACACTATTCTTCATAGGTCATAGTAATAAGTAAACACTACTCTAAGTACTTTCATCCCCTTGAAATAATCACATTGGTAAGCAATAATATTTAACTAGCATCATGACATTGTCAGCCTGTCAGGTGTCAGGTGCTCTGCAGGAGTTCTTGACACAACTTCTTAATTAAATTTTGGACCATGCTACATTTACACCAAAAATTGTACCCCATTTGTACACGGCAGGTATACACAAACATTTTGATGGTTTACACCGACACAAATGTTGGTGCGTTAACAAAAATTTACACGGACAGAAAGTGTTGGTGCGTTAACAAAAATTAGTTTTACACCAACACAAAAATGTTGGTGCAAACCTGCAGGGTACAAAGTGGGGTACACAATGTCGGGGTACAAGTAGCTTTATCCTTAAATTTTAAAAGAAACCGCGCAACACAGCACCTGACCTGATTTTTTAAAATCCAGGATATGCCTCCTGATTTCTTCAACTTTACCCCAACCACATCTCAGTGGTTCAATGTGCAGGTAGATACCAGAAATCCGGGGATCATAAGCAGCCTTTGTGAAGTTTTCACAAATTTGAGGCAAAGATAACCGTGAAGAAAACCTACTCTGCAACTGATCGGATATCTGTGATGAGATATAAAATGGAACCATTAACAATCTAAACAAAATTTCTACTTTCTCAGATGCATAAACCACAAAACCTATTTTCCACTCCGGGTCAAATCCAAACAGGAAATTGGTGAATATCATCAACTACTATATACTCCATGTAAATCTACAATAATACTGCAATCATTACAATAAGAAGTAGTACCTCGCCGCGCAATTTAGTGGTCAAAACACTGCCGTAACGCACGCGCTGCCACGGAAGAGCAAAGAGCAATCTGAGCGCAACAACAAAGCTCTTCCACGCGCCGTACTTTTGAAACTGAAGTTCTCCACTAGGGTACGGGTCCTCGCCGGAAGAGACTCGAGCACCCTCGTCGCCGTTAATACCAGCGTTCTTCACCTCGTCTTTGGCGGAGGACGATGCATCGCCGTGTTTTGCGGTGCTGGCATAAACAGAGAAGCACCGGCGGGTGAATATAGGGAAGGGCCTTGGGAGAGGACTGTTGAGCGGAATCGCAGATACGTGGACGGCGGACAGCCATGATAGAGAGACGGCGGAGGAGCGGAGGTGAAGTGACGTAAGACAGGTGGTAGGAAGCAGCTTAGACATCCTACTCCTCACGCGCGCGCCGTATTTCGCTCCCTTCTATTTTCATGATTAATCCCTAAAAAGCTCAAAACAAAATTATGTTTCTCCCAAACCATGTTCTATGTACAAAATAATTGTAAGAAAAAATACTCCCTCGTTTGCAACAAAAGTTGCTACTTTGACTTGAAACCAAAATAAGAAAGTGTTAAATTGTAGTTGACTTCCAATTTTACCCTTGATGTGATGGATAAAAGTAAGATGTGATGGATAGATTATTAGAGAAAAAGTATGCTGTGATAGGTAAGGTATGAAAAAGTAAGGGTAAAAGTGGATTTTAATAGAAAGTGGAAATGTTTTGTTGGAAGTGAAAAAAATGAAAAAGAAAGTGTTTTTGAGAACGGAAGGAGTAGAAACTAACATAAGACCACTCTCACTCAAAAGAGAAGCTAAGTTTTTAAAAACAACATACTAACACTCTTCATTATTTTCAAGTATAAAAGGATGAAAGGAATAGTCTTTCGAGTTGGTTGTTGTTGTTGGAGTATAATTATTTATTACATAAGTATTAAATAAATAAGTAAGTAAATAAATAAGTATGAAGTAAACAAAAAACAAACAAATAAACAAATTAGTAAATAATAACTACTTTCGCATCCCGAAATGAAATTCACTTAAAATTTACGAGGTAAAATATTTTTTTAAATTATTTTATTCAAAAATTGGTACAAAAATAAAAAAAAACTTACATATAAAATAAATTTTATAATAAACATAATTTGTTAAATAGTCTAATACATCAGAATGGAAGGCAAACACTTGTCTTTTCTAATAGCAAAACAAAGTAAGCAAAAACTATTGGCTCTAGTCAAAATATTTATTTATATAATAAATACATCAATGAAAGGCAAACACTTGTCAAAATATTTTTTATATAATAATATAATTTGTTCAATAGTCATATATATATATATATATATATATATATATATATATATATATATATATATATATATATTATGAATTGTATTATATTATATTGTAGAACAATTTAAATTTTATAAATTTTAATTAGTGTTATATAAATTACATTACACAAATCATATATATATAATTAAGTTTTTAAAGATAATTGCATCTATAGCAACTATTTAAAAGCAGCTAAATATGCCAAACATTTTTTTGAACAGCTAATGCAATCTACCGATCAAAACAGCTAACTTCACCAACCAATCAAACCAGCCAATACAAACAGCTAACAACTAACTCCACCCGCCAATCTTGTAGAAATTGTTCCTTAGAGCTTAAATTCTCAACTTCTAGTTTCTTCTAGTTCTTTTTAGTTCCTTCTAGTTATTTCCTGTTTCTTTTAGTTTGTTCTAGTTCTTTCATGTCCTTCCAGTTCTCTTTAGATCCTTTCAGTTCTTTTCTGTTTCTTTCAGTTTCTTATAGTTCTTTCAGTTCCTTCTAGTTTTTTTAGTTGCTTCCAGCTACTTCTAGTTTTTTCAAGTTCCTTCGAGTTTTTCAAACTATTTTTATTTTCTATCAAACACTTTCTGCTTTCCAGTCAATTATTCTAAAAGCGATATTATTATTGTTGTTGTTGTTGTTGTTGTTGTTATTATTATTATTATTATTATTACTATTATTAATATTATTATTATTATTACAACTATTATGTTCATAACTATAGTTTATAAATTATTTCATTTTTTTCATCTCACTATTTTTATTATTCACACTCATTATTATTTTTTCTTCAATTTTTTAATATGAATAATACCATTTTTTGCATATTAATTTACATGATAAAATAGGAAAACATCAATATTTTAAACTATTCAAAAAAATTGTTGATAAAATAGTTACATAGAATGTTTTATTAATTTAACTTTATATAAGAAAAACATCAATAAAGAGAAAAAAGAAAAAATGCCGGGAAACGAATAGAGAAAAACATATCATTATACATAGAAGAAAGAAAATAAATAGGAAATGGAAAAAAATATACAAAAATGCCTGGAAACAAAAAACAAGCGGAGAAAAAAGACCTATCGCCTTTCTCTTTATTACTCAATTTTTTTCTTATTTTTATTTATTTCAAAAATCATTTTCTTTCATTTTTCTAATTTTAATAAAATATTTTGAAAGCGAAAATACTTTAGAGAAAAAGGCTAAAGTGGGGGTAAAACATAAAAAAAAAATGTAAGAAGTTCTATGTCTTTATTTTAAAAGTAGGGTTGCAATGGAAATAAAATGTCAATCAACAAAGAAAAATAGGTTTAATTACATTATGTGACATGTCCGATATTTAAAACCAAATCTTGTAATTTATAAAGTATAATTACAAATATATTATTTTATGATAAATACTGCATAAATAAAAAAAATATACAACGTAGCCACAATAACTTTTAAATATTTAACATTTCTATATTTATGCTAATTTTATATTCTAATTAATTCTTTTTTCTAGAAGTATTTTTTGTGTATACAGAATAACAATTTTTTTATCTTAAAGGCATTCATTAAGATAACGTGATGACAATAACAACAACAACAATAATAATAATAACAATAACAATAATAGTTTATAATAATAAGAATTAGAATGAGAATAACAAAAAAAATTTACAGTTTCATTTAATTTTTCCATTTTTTCTAGTTTTTATAGTTTCATTTAATTTTTCAAGGTTCTTCGAGTTTTTTCGACTTCCTTCCAGTTTTTTTCAGTTTCTTCCGGTTGCTTCTAGTTTCGTCGAGTTTCTTCTAACATTCAACTCTTTTTTTCAATCCTAAAGATCAAGCTCGTAATGTGGATTGTGTACAAATTTACATACAGTATGAACTTTTAACATTTTTGTATTTAATTAAAAAATTGTTGCATATGTCATCAAGCATTCATTCCCTATTTTCCTCCTTACGGCTTTATTGCACCTTTTTTTCTTGGAATAAAAAAATGCATTTATTGCACCAATAAATACACCTTTTAGTCTAAAAAAATTGATGACTATATATGAAAATATTCCCCAACTATCTATAAAATTTACTCCTTTTCAATAATCCTTGAAATTTTCATTAGTAAAAGTGTTCCAAATGTCTAACTAAGTACACAATAGATAAGCAACAATAGATGACTTGTTTTCTTGATTTATTAATGGAGATTCGAGAGACAACCTAATTGCGGTTTTATTTAAAAATTTCATTTTTGAATAACGTTAGCATTTTAGATAATTTTTAAAGGTGCAAATCTACATAAAAAATACTCCGTACTAAACTCCGTTTGAAACACAAAATTCAAACTATGGAATTGGAATTGGAGACAACAATCTCAATTTTGCTGTTTGGTAGCAAAAAATATGTGGATTTGGAACTGGAAGTGTCGAAAATGAATTGGAATCGGAGAATTCAGTTTCATCCAAATCAATTACATGAAATTTCAATTCTCATTCAATTCAAATTACGTCAATTCTGTGTACCAAATGGACCCTAACATTAAAAGTTACTCTTAGATATTATTTTCTAAATGACCAAGTTAATGCCATTCATAGCTTATCTACGCCACCCTCATTTTGAAA